AAGAACAGGTTACTTACCTGTAAACATGGTTCTTTAAGTGGATTCTCTATGAATACACACGACCCGCCCAACCTCCCCACGTGTCCGTCACTGCTGATTGAGTTCCAACTCTCTCTATGTGCGGGCACATGGAACTGGGGATTTTTGGCGGGCTGCACTTGCGCAGTGCAGGGCAACTCAGACATTGTATCTTTTCCCTCATAGCTCTGGAAAATTCCGAGAGGAACCAGCGCAGGCGCTGTTTAACCCATCAGTGTGTATTCATAGAGAATCCACTTAAAGAACCATGTTTACAGGTAAGTAACCTGTTCTTTTTAATCAATATGATCATAAAATAGTATTATAGTGGTTGTATGTTTTCCGGGCTGTTTGGCTGTGTTCTTGAGGTTTTTCTTCCTAACATTTCACCAGTCTCTGTGGCTGGCATCTTCAGAGGACATCTTTCGGTCCTCTGAAGATGCCGAAACGAGACTGCCGAAACGTTAGAAAGAAAAACCTTAAGAACATGGCCAAACAGCCTGCGAAACCAGCAACAATCATTTGATCCTGTCCGTGAAAGCCTTCAAGAATACATAATGTTATATTATTGTGCTACCTTGTAATATGGTGACCCAGTACAGTACATTGAACATGAATGATGTAATCCTATGGATTTGTAGATTTATGCCAGTGCTGACTTCTCCAGCTTTCACTGCCTCCTGATGTTCTGGACTTCTATCACCTTCAAATCCCTGTCACTTTCCATTCAGCATGTGGATACTTTTCATATCAGCTTTGGACTGGGGTTAAAATGTGTAGTGTGTGACTAATGATGAAACAGTTTGGCTAAAAGCCATCTAAATTGTCCATTAGACAGCTTTTTAGATTAGATGGTGAAGTCATGACTTGCCTTAAGATCTTCCAAACTGTTTAGTAGCCAGAGAGAAAGGTTCTTGTCTTCTGCCAGTTGTGTTTTTAAGCAGACTGAGAGCTTTCTCATTAAATATTACACATCATGATTACTCATTATTATGGAACGGTATTCAGAGTGTGTGTAATTTTCAATATGTGTCTGAAGCTCAATGATCATCGTAATGGATGTAACAGAAGATGAAACTAGGTAACTATAGTGCTGTTTTTCTTTTAATGATCACCATTACAAGTTGTTGCTCACTTTCAGTACATGCATACATATAAAATAATTGAACATTTTAAAGTTTCTGGTACTTTGATCTCATGAAAGTGGCAAGAAAAAATAGTCAATTACATTGCCTGCATTTAGAGATGATGATACCACTGGGTGGGCAAGATAGTCACCATCAGTTAGTGGTATATTATTGCCAAGCACTTCATTGTACATTTCATATCTACCATTTAAAACTTTCCCAAGCACATCATCATCATCATCTGTAATTCTTCTTTCAACAGGTAGAGAGAATTGTTGATAAAAGGAAAAACAAGAAGGGGAAGACAGAATACTTAGTGAGATGGAAAGGCTATGAGAGTGAAGACGACACATGGGAACCTGAACAGCACCTTGTGAATTGTGAGGAATATATACATGAATTCAATAGACATCACAATGAAAAGCAAAAAGAAAGCACACTAACAAGAACAAACAGGACATCTCCAAATAACGCAAGAAAACAAATTTCTAGATCTACTAATAGTTCATTTTCAAAGACCTCCAAGTCTTTAGTTATTGGAAAGGACCATGAATCAAAAAATCAATTACTTGCTGCCCAGAAATTTCGGAAAAACAACACTCCTCTCACTGGTAGAAAAAACATGGATCTTTCAAAGTCAGGTATCAAAATTCTTGTGCCCAAAAGTCCTATTAAGAGTCGGACAGCAGTGGATGGCTTTCAGAATGAAAGTCCTGATAAGCTGGACCGCGTAGAACAGGATCAGGAAGATTCTGTGGCACCAGAAGTGGCTGCAGAAAAGGCTGTTGGACCTTTTTTAGGACGTGGAGAAGAACGTGCTAGGATGGGGAGCAGGCCAAGAATACACCCATTAGTGCCACAAATAACTGTGCCAGTAGCAGCTACCATTGCATCTGCATTAACAATAAATGGAAAAGGTAAGCATGTTTTTTTTGGACGGGGCAGTTTTATGTATGTAATCGTTAAGGTAATTTTAAAAATGTCTGCGGTAATTTGTAGAGTTGTGTGGGGGTGTATCTGTTATGTTAAAATACTGTCTCATGAGTTTTTTTTTATTTGATGAAGGACTGCAGACCCATTTTATTTGTCAATATTTAGATTTCTTTTCTGAGATACATTGCAACTTGCCTTTGTTCAAAATAAGTCATATCTGTCTTGATTTTAAGTTTACCCCTCGGTAATTCATTGTTGCTTTGTGTTGCTTGCATTTCTTGAATTTAGGTCGAATAGACATAATTTTTCATGAATGTTAGAAATCACTGAAATATTAAGGGATTCAGTGGTGTCATTCTGCTGATGGATCTGTTTTCATTGGCCAAAGCGGATCTCCATTATCCTTGCATCCTTCCCCATGTTCTTACACCTGTTGAGTTGGGAAACACTCTGGAGCTGGTTTTCAGAAGAGACAGGATTGTGAGGGAGAAGGATAAGGAAAAAATCCTGACATGATATCATATACTCACTGTTGTTGTACTTAAGCCAGAATTCACATATGTTTTGCTGGGAACTTAGCTGTATTCTTCTTTTCAGATTCGTGCCGGCAATTTTGTGTATTGGTCCTTGAAATATATCTCAATATTTAAAATGTATTGATAGTAATTCAGTTGTCCTTGCCTTCTGTGCATTTGACTTTATGCATTACTGAACTATATTGCATGTTAGATTGCTGTAATACATTCACTTCAATTCTTTATCAGCCCTTCCTATGCTTTCCTCACTATTTCTAAAAAAAATTCTTGTTGAACAAAGATCTGGTGATGTTGGGGTTTTTTTAACATATCATAAGGTAATTTGAAGATTATGGGGTGTATGCTGCATAGACAGAGCTGGTTGTAGAGCCCTTGGCTGGCTTACAAGATTGTGATAGAAAGTACTGTAATGGTTGTTGTGGGTTTTTCGGGCTCTTTGGCCGTGTTCTGAAGGTTGTTCTTCCTAACGTTTCGCCAGTCTCTGTGGCCGGCATCTTCAAAGGACAGCACTCTGTGCTCTGGTGTAGTTTGCTTGGGAGTTGAGTATTTATGGCTGTGAGATAGGCTTTTGTCCTTTTCAGGAGATGGGTGATTAATGTGTCATGTTGTGGGTGTATTGTTGTGATAAGGAGGAGAGATTATCTGTCACTGTGATTGATGGGTGTCATTATTTCAGTATTTTGAAATAGAATTTCATGTCCAGCTTGTTTTAGGGCATGTTCAGCCACTGCAGATTTTTCTGGTTGTTTTAATCTGCAGTGTCTCTCATGTTCTTTGAATATGGTGTGGATGCTTCGTTTTGTGGTTCCAATGTATACCTGGCCACAACTGCAAGGTATCCGGTATACTCCTGCAGTGGTGAGGGGGTCCCTTCTGTCCTTTGCTGACCGTAACATTTGTTGTATTTTTGTGATGGGCTTGAATACTGTTTGTTGGTTGTGTTTTTTCAAAAGTTTCCCCATGTGGTCTGTGACCCCTTTGATGTATGGCAGAAATATTTTATATGTGGGTGGTTGTTTTTCTTCTTCAGTTTGGTGTTGTTTTCTTGGTTTGATGGCTCTTGTGATTTCATTTTTGGAATAGCCATTTTCCTGTAGGGCCCAATTCAGATGGTTGAGTTCAGTGCGGAAAAACTGAGCTTCACAGTTCCGACTTGCACGGTCTATTATGCCTCTTTTTTTGGTGTGGGTGGTGTTTGGAGTTTTTGTGTAGGTACCGGTCTGTGTGGGTAGGTTTTTCTGTAGACCTTGTGTCCCAGTCGGAGGTCAGTTTTGCGTATGACCATGACATCTAAGAACCGGAGTTGGCCCTATATTTCTTTTTCCATGGCGAATTGTATATTTGGGTGGATGCTGTTGAGATGATTCAGAAATTCTTCCAAATTTTCTTCACCGTGGTTCCAAATAGTGAAGGTTTCATCCACATATCGGGACCAGAACGGGGTGCCGAAGCCAGGGCAAATTTTCGAAATGCTCCATGTAGAAGTTTGCTCTAACCGGGCTGAGGGGGCTCCGCATGGCCACTCTATCTGTCTGTCCATAGAATTCATTATCTCACTGGAAATAGCTGGTCGTTAGGCAATGTTGGAAGAGGGCCTTGATGTCTTCTGGAAATATCTGCTGGATGAGTGTCAGGGTGTCCTTTATCGGTTTCTTAGTGAACAGGGATATTACGTCAAAGCTGATCAGTCTGTCCCCAGGGTTGAGTTTTAGGGTGCTGATCTTGCTTATGAAATGTCCTGAGTCTTTTGATGCAGGATGAGGAGTGGGGGAAAGGAAATGAGGGCTCATGACCAAGTACTGTAATGGTTTTGTGCCAATAACCACCATTGGTGTTGCATAGGATCCCTAAAGTATGTTTGAGCTAGAGTGGAAGTTGCAGTCCTAAATAAGCATGTTAAGGAATAAACTTATTGAATAGAGTGGGACCGACTTCTGAGAAGGATTGTAGAATTTTGGAGTGGGGGCGCAGTATAATTAGTAAAGTGACTTCTAGAAAACAAAATTATCCCCTCTTTCATGGGGCATTCCATTTGATTACCATTTCACCCTATCAGTTCTCCATAAAGTTATGATTGTAACATTTATTTAACTAATACAGCAACTTAACATCTTCACTAGGACTATAATTCTCAGATAGGTTTACTGAGAATCAAACTGTGTTCATTAGGGGTTATACTTAGGTGAATGTGTATACAGTTGCCATTGTATAACTTTCTACCTGCTGTACCGTGCAGTCTTGTGAGCAAGCTTCACTGAACTCAGTGAGGCTTTCTTCTGAGTAAAATATGTGATTGAGCTTCACATTTGTTTTTGTTTGTAGTCTCTGTGGATGACACAAATGGCTTTGTGCATATGCAGAGCCACATTCCAGAATGTTCCCCAGCTAGGGTTTTTGGTGGTAACCTCACCCCTTCTCACCCCTACTCACTCTTGTGCATATGGCTGCCTTGGTCAGCAGCCCTCATTTCCTTTTTTTTTCCACCTCAGAGTTAAATTGGATGTTCTTTAGCTAGCGCAAGTTCATACATTATTTCTTCCTACCACGTTTCTCCTGTTTTCTTTTGGCCTGCCTTGATTTGTTTTTCTTTCTATTCCTGTTGTTAATTTATTTCTTTGCAATGTCTGTTTCCTTTTTCTATGATTTTGGGCTTGGCTCAATGACAACATTTTATAACACAACAGTCGCACCATGTTGACATTTCAAGGCTTCAGGACTCGCCTCCTCATTTGGAATATAATGAGGAAGAGTGTTTGGAGTGCCACTTAAAAGGACTCCTTTCTCCAGGGATGGGGACTCGTGACTTGTGAGCGAGTCTGACTCAAATCACACAGGCAACTCGACTCATCTCACAGGTTTTGGTGAGGACTTGCCACAGGGGGGTTGGGCCTGTTCAGTCCTTCGCAGCTTCCCTTCCAGACCCATTGTCTGAACAAGCCTTGAAGGAAGCATGGCTGCAGGAGCTGGTAGAGGGGTCATAGAGTGGGGGGATTGCAGAGAGGGCAGGGGGTTCTGGAGGGGAACATGGGGCTTTTACCTCCTCCTCGGCAGTGGTGGCCATCTTTAGAGGCAGCAGGTAAGACGTCTCTTCCAGAAGCCAAGGACTTGCTGCCTACACCAATTGCCTGCAGCCCAGTTGATAGGTGGGCCTGCAGAGAGACAGGGGCTCACTCAGGAAGGGAAGCCTACCCACTGCCTTTGTGCATGCACAACTTATCAGCTGGGCGGTATGCAGTCCAAATCTTTGAGTCCCAGTCCTGTGTCCCAAGCCTGGTGGAGCAGGGCAAACAACTGTTGACTCAGACTCAAGATTTGGGACTTGGACCCAAAGACTTGGAACTTGGACCCAAAGACTTGGAACTTGGGACTCAGGCCCAAGGACTTGCCAACATCCCTGCCCTTCTGCAGAGATCTTATATCTGGATCTGGTTATCAGGGATTTCACACCACTCTCTCCCTCAGAGGATCTTCACCCCTGTGTGGATCAAATTCTCTGACTTGCATGATCCCTCATCAGACTGTGGATGTCCCTGCCTCTCTTATCAATTCTTTCTACTCCTATTAAGCAGACTTGGGGCAACCCTTCTTCCATCCTATCAACCATTGTGAAGGATAGAGAATTTCTAATGTATCCAAGAAGAGGAGGCTTCCTTTTTATGTCAGTGCCCCAAGCCCAGTTAGACTGAGGTCAAGGCAGCTCAAACCAAAGGGAATTAATGATGCTCATTCCTTACTGGTGGATAGGGAGGGTTGGAAAATCAGCCTCATAGATTGTAGATTTTATTCTTTGATGGCCTTGGGAATACAGGTAAGTAATTACAAAGCTACAGTGGCTGCATATCAGCAGCTCCTTTGGGAGAGACTAGAGCTTCTCTGTCCATTACCAAAAGATCAAAAGCCGTTGACACTTTCTGTCGAGAGATGTGTAAGCTGTCTGACAGCTGTCTGACCACCAACCAAATCAACACTACAGAACAGTTGGCTGACTGCGTTGAAGGTGATTGAAGTCTCAGTAGCTCTTTGCAAAGACTTGTGACTCCTTACCACTAATATGCAAAAAGACGCGCAAGCCCAGATAGAGGACCTTGGCTTTGATGGGGACAGCCTCTTTAATGCTACTATGGATGAGGTCATGGACCACCTGGGCAAATCCTGTACTACAGCTAGGAAAATGGGCCTTTCACACCAGCCCAATAAACAAATTGGCATTGCACACGCTACTCTACCCAGACACATCATCCGTCTCCTCAGTCATTCCATTGTTTAGCTCCATGACAGAAACAGAGACAGTCCTACAAATAACATAGAACCTGTCAGTCTACAGCCTGTGAGGACAGTCTTCATCCACCTTTCTTCCCCTCACTTGCAGTTACTTCCTTGCTGTCAACCCACCTTGTTGTCTTGCACCATTTAGTATCTTGGCACTCCATGACCACTGACCAGCAAGG